GCATTAGGTTAAAAATAAATAAATAAATAAATAAATAAATTGGGCCCTAAAAATCTGGGCATTAGGTTAAAAATAAATAAATAAATAAATAAATTGGGCCCTAAAAATCTGGGCCTGATGCGGAGGCCTATTCGGCCTCACCTCAGGTCCTGCCTGCAGTCAAACTTAGCCACAAGAGCCTATCTTTGGAAAAAGGTCTCATCAAGAGCATGCCCACATATGGATATGTAACGAGGGAAGATTACAAAACTAAGAGCTCAAGTTTCTCCAATTTCAAATTTAAGAGATAAAGTTTAAAATTTTAAATCTCAAATTTTTTTTAATTTTATTTATAAAATAATTAATTAAATATATTGAGATCACAAACTATTTTTCGATCATATTAAAAAATTTTATAAGTCACAAATTATTTTATAATTACAAATCGAAAATTTTATAGGTCACAACTTTTTCATCGGTCACAAATTTATAAAATTAATAAGTCACGTCTTATTCATTGCTCACACGTTTTATATATCACAAATTATTTTAACATCACAATTCAAAAATTTTAGAAATCACAATTTGTTCATCGATCACAANAAAAAATTTTATAAGTCACAAATTATTTCATAATGACAAATCGACAATTTTATAGGTCACAATTTTTTCATCGGTCACAAATTTATAAAATTAATAAGTCACATATTATTCATTGGTCACAAATCACAAATTTTATATATCACAAATTATTTTAACGTCACAATTCAAAAATTTTATAGATCGTCATTTGTTCATCAATCACAAATCAAAAATTAAAACGTCACAATTTATTTATAGGTCACAAATCACAAATATTAAATATCACAACTTATTAGACAGTCACACATTATCAAATTATCGGTGACAAATTAACAATTTTTTAGGTCACACGTTATTTTTTTGTCACAATTTATCTTTTTCATCGGTCGAACATTGTTTATGAGTTACAAATTAATCAATTTAATGGTCACAAACAACCAAATAATATGTGACCACCACCAAACACCTGTGACTATCACCTCACAAATGCCACCAACAGCGTGCAACCGAAACCCTGTCGTCGGAACCACCACCACCACCTCTCGACAGCAAACCATCATCTAAAAATACCGACATCACCACGACGACCACCACCCACCTACAACCACCGCACCTCCCACTACTAAAAACACAGAACCTGCACCACCAACCCCCCACCCATCTCACAACCCAAAAAATAAATAAAAATTCCCCACCCTATCGCTAGCAACGTCGCCGTCGCCGTCGCCGACCTCCACCAACACTGCCACCATCTACACCACCCAACCAAAATACAACATGGCACCAACTGAAAGCAGCATCACCACTTCACCGTCTCCGCCACCACAACCTCCAATAAACTACAACGTTTAACTTCAAAACCACCACCACGACTCCCCACTACAACCACTAACAAATCACCACTAACCGTCAAATCCACCGCCGTCGCCACTACCAAAACCAACAAACCCTATCAAATCCACCGTCGACCCAACAAAACACTACCACAGCCAAATTCACAGCCACTGCCACCAACAAAAATCATCCCCAAATCACGAAGCAACGCACAGCCTACCATCACCCCATCATCGCTACTACCGCAGTAGCGTTTCAATTCCATAACGTCCATCAACCACCACAAAATAACAACTCCCTGTAAAAATTGCAAAAAACTTAGAAAAAAATAAAGCGAAGATTCGCACGAATAAATGCCGCTACTTCGTGTTTATCCACAACGCCGCCGGACGAGGCTGCATCGTCTCGTGGAGGCTGACTGCCGACGGAGAGGGAGGAGATCGAAGAGTGGAGAAGAGAGAAGGTAGAGAGAGTGACAGAGATGAGAGAAGGTAGAGAGAGAGAGAGAGAGAGAGATGGATGAGGAAAATTAAAATGAAATTGATTAGAGTTTGGGATGAAA